GGGACCCATAAAGCTGACGGGTGTGATAACTCGTTCCCTACCTTGTCATGGCTCTGAGAGGAGGATGGAACAAAGGTGTGATGGAGAAGGGCACGGAGCCATCGCCCCGCAGTGAGCTCAATGGGTTTTTCCCTGTGACACGCTGTCGCTCTAGATTTAGAGACAGAGAGGGAGACCCAGACGGTGATGGGTGATGGAGTGCCCGAGATGCACACAGAGCCAATGAATGTTGGTGCTTACGTCTCACAGTGCACATATCCGAAGAGCACTATGTTCTTTTGACAGAAGAAGGCATGAGGTGAAAAGTGCATTGTTGCTTTCTGTATTTTTCACAGTGATTTCCTGAAGATAAATCTGTAAGGCGCATACCTTCTCAAATCCTCTGACATTCCCTTCTTTTCTAACATATCATGATATCATCGTGGATAGATTCGGAAGAATTAAGAGGAACAACATTCACTGTACATCCTCAGATTTGAGTACAACAAAAAGGCGTTTAAAGACTTCTATTTAAAGGCATGGTTGACAATTGGAGAGATTGGTAACTATTATGAACCTCGTTTATATGGCGATCATGGTCCTATAGTGCGATCTCCACAAAGTGAAGAGAAAAAAAAAAGGAAAATATACGTTCACCATATCAGGTGCAGGGCTGCAAAAACATTGACCAATGGGAGCCCTCCGTCCCGGACAGCTTCTATTGGTCAATCTGCTGCTCCGCCTCCCAGTCCGAACCCGTCTGCCGTAGTTCCGGCTCGTCCCCTCCCACTTGCAAGCCGACAGAAGAAAGGGCAGAGTCGAAGAGGAAATGTAACCAAGCGAGGAATCTAACTGGAATAAACATCGAGTCATCCTTCGAGCATTGGAGAAAGCTTTGCCAGGATTTGGGCCTGAAAACAGACGCAGAGACGGCAGAGTTTTTGGAAACAGGTAATTTTTGCCTTTTATCGTGGCACATGTTACATAAATAACTCTTACTAGTCTCTGCAATGTCAACATGGTAGCTGTCCAGGCAGCTGCAGACAGCGCTCGCTAGCAGAGCTGGCGTTTACTGCCGCTAGTCACTAGCAATCTGACATGGTGAATCCTGTTTGAAGCTAGCGTAGGATCTTCTTCCGGCCGGCTTCTTGCTCTGCCAGAGGGGGTGTGTCACGGGGAGGGTGATACAGGTTCGGGGGGAGGTATAGTGAAGCACAGAGGGGAGAGGTTTGTGTGTGTGGGGGGTGGGATGCTTTTTTTCAAATCAGCCTCAACGGCTCATTTTTTTTCATCTGTTTCTCCAATCGTCAACCATGCCTTTAAAGTCACACAGCGCAAATGAAAAACATTTTTTAGTGATCTTATTATCAGTTGAGTTTATTTAATGCAAGAGAGGTGATTAAAACATCTACCAGCGCTTTAACAGAAGTGGGACCAACCTTGAAACCACACAGACCTGAATCCAGGACTTAAACATCTCCTTCTTTTGTAACACACGGACACATTTTGATTAAAAGGCTCATTTGAGAGTGGAGTGTTAAACATGAATACAAAGAGTCTCTTAGTCTTAGTCGCTGTTAAATCAGCCTTGAAGAACATAGATGCAACAATGACTCTAACTAGCTTCAAACTATTCAACTAAAGTAGATATTTTGGCTGTTTGAGTGCAGCAGAGATTTGTAGAATTTGCTAAGGAGCTTAAATATATATCTTTAGTTATTTAAATTCCCACTAGCCAACTATTCTGAAAGTATCAGAAACCCAGAAAAAGAAAAAAAAAACCAAGCACGGCTTAACGCTAAATCACAGAGTCTGCGGGTAAAAGATGTGGCTAATGTTAACACTGACTATACAAGTCAAAATAAGTTATTTCTGTGCTTCCCAACTGTGGAGAAAGCTTGATGGCTACTCAAGATCTGCTTATTCAAATCAAAGCGAATCACATTTGTTCACTGCAGCTTTTCAATGAGACATCCAACTTTTTCATCCGTGGCAGAACTAACTTTCACCTCATGTTTTTTCTTCCCTTTATTGTCTCCGAAATGCAATTTCTGTTTGTTCCTCTGTTTTATTGTCTTTAAATGGAGTTTTTATGAGTCTCAGTGTCTTGTATTTGATGTGTTTCTATGTCCCTGCACAGCATCCTGAATCGCCTTGTGCTTCAAAAGTGTTACATAAACAACCTTGCCTCGCCTGTGTCAAATTTGCCAATTTTAGTCATTCTTTATTGGTGTGAAAGTTTCAGAAAACACTGAGTGGAGGATAAAACAACAGTGAAACTTTTATTCCTGTCTAGATCTGGAACTTTGGATTGTTCCACAAAGTCTTCAACCTAAAAAGTAAATCAAATATTTCATTAAAAATGACCATGACGTAAAATTTTTAGTCCTTCTACAACAATATCATAGGAAAAGCTGAGTTTGAGTTTTCCTTAGTCATAGCCAAGTTGGTTTATTCAGCTCAAGTTTAGACTCTTATTAGGAGACTAAACCTGAGTCAGTTATGTGCTTTGTAAGCTAAGGGCTCAGCAATATGTGTTGTCTAAGATACACAATGTACCAGTACTGAAGTTATCTGTCTTTTTTGTAAGATAAAATATTTATGTGCTAAAAATAAGCCTATGCTAACACTGTGGTGCCACTTTGCAAAAGGAGGAGAGATGAAGAGTAAGTAGCAGACTGCTAGTGACCTCGCAGAAACAGCCTTCTGAGAGATGATTCAGCACTTTTCAAACTGAAGTTCAAGAAGTTATGTGAATCCAAAAACAACGTAAGAGCTTTTGCCTCTTTGGGTTTCTAATCAACGTAACATTCACACTAACAGTTAACCTTTCTCATTACTGTTTTGACTCAGTTCTGTATCTTACAATCAACTTGAGGTATTATCCTTCAAAATAAAAGCATTCGACAATGCAGGATATAATGCTTACAAGACTTACAAAATGTCAAAATAAGAGTCAAACAAATGACCGCTTAAATGAGGTAATATCTTCTATAAGAAGTTTCGATCATAGGGATGAGTTTTCTATAAATATCATGGTAACATTATCATTATTATTATTATTGTTGTTGTTGTTGTTGTTATCATTATTAGTCTAACAATTTGCGAAGTGACAACATTGATTATGTCAGATTTTGTAAAAAAAAAAAAAAAAAAGCAATCAAAACAGACCTTGAGAGTCTAAAATGAACAGAACATGGTCACTAAAATGTAAATGACTGTGTCATTATCATTGTAGCAGAAAAAAAATAACATAACATAACATTTAAATGCTGCATTCGAGTTACCTCGTAAGTCAGATGTCCGAGCTGGGAATGACGTCACACTTGAGTTACCAGTGCCAAGTCGGAAAAAAAAAAATCGGAGGCAGAAACAAGATGGCTACATCTACGAAAGTTATTTTAGCACTTGCCTTGTCCTTGCTTATATTCGGACAAGGCAAGCGCTGAAATAACCTTCGTAGATGTAGCTATATTGTTCCCGCCTCTAATTTTGCTTTTTTCCGACTTGGTAACTGAAACACTGATAACTCGGGTTAGTTTGGATTTCTGACCTCCAAGGTAACTCGAATGCAGCACAAGCTATTGTTTTTTGTCAATAATACACGCACTAAGTTAGCTTTGGCTACTAAAATAAGCTAATTCAAAGAAACGCCATCCCAATCTCACATTTGTTGGATTTTGACATTTTATTTAAGCAGATTTGTCTCTCTTCTTGCACTATTTCCAACTTTTTACAGTTTATTTTTAGTTTATCGTCATGGAACCAAACTAATCCACTGGTAGAGTTTGAAACCCAATGAAAAGTTTCTCTCTCTATATATATATATATTTGTTTTTGTTTATGCATACAGACTTTTGTCTTGAACCACAGAGTTTATTCGAGTGGCCCCGGGAGAAGCACAAAAGAAAAGGTCTCAAACTTATAATATTATTCCCCAAGAACTCAGACTATTGATTTCGATCCAGACGATAGTTTCCTGCTGAGATAAATATTAATAAACTTGTTTGACTTGTGGGATTTTGTCAGAATAAAAAAAATAAAAAAAACTCTTGACTTATGGGTCAGAGTGTTGTGAATAGCAGTGCAGTTTAAGAGGTCATCACTGGTGGGAGGCTATCATCTACTATTCACAGCTCTGTAAGTTTGCTCAAGGGTATTGTCGACCTCTTCGCTGACACAAACTTATTGCTGGTGTAAATCACACTGCAGCCACACTGCTCCTGCCCTCTTGCCATGAATATTTAAACAAGTATGCATACATGCTGCCATGCCTTGCGTTGTCTAGAAGATTATTGCTTGCCTGCAGTAACATTTGAATTATGCCTTTGTCTCAGTAAGTGCAACTTCAGACGCTTTCTTTTACATATCGTGTCGACCCAGACGCCTTCTGCACATTCTGATGATATATTGGGTAAGAAAAAGAACACCTGCTTCATGCGCTCGACGCTGTTCCTCTGCGAGGTTATTGGGGACGCGGAGAAGTGACGGGGTGTATCCACACTAATGCATCTCTGCTCACAGACAGATGACACACCTCCAGACCTATCTGTTCATTTACCTCCACAATCAAGATTCACGGCTCTATTTTCCTCCGCCCTGTTTGCCAGAGGTGCTCTGTTTTCTTCAGTGTTAAATGAATTAAATGGGCGGGCTGCCAGAAGCCAGATATAGCTGTGTGTCTGCGTCGTGCGTATGTATAGACAGAGATTCGGAGTGTGTTCGCACATCGCCCGCGGCTAATCCAAAGTGATGGATTTTGGTTTTAAAACTCTGTATCGTGACCTCAATTCTTTTCAGGTCAAGCCGCGCCAACGTCATAACAATAGAAATATTTATATATTTAAACTGGTTGAAGGTTATAATTACCAGAGGCAGCGCTTTTAAATGCCAGAGCAGATTTCTCACTCAGGTGCACCAAAAATCTCTCCGTGATGAGCCCACTCGCTCTGCTAAATGATCTGCGATGAGCCTCACGCCGGAGAAACAGTGAGCAGTAGACAGTCGAGCCCCGGCTCTGCATGACTGGCTCCGTCTACGGCAGCATACGGAGGCCTGACGCCGGCCAGGTGGCGCTTACATCTGGCCCATTAGCTCTCGACCGCTGCAATGACTCTCCACGCCACGGAGAGCCTGTTGAAATAATATCATCAGGACCTTTAAGTGCTGAAGGCCGCCTTGCCTATTGGCTGCTCAGAATAGCGAGTCAGGGTATCACTCTGGATCTGACCTGTCAGCTCCGGGGCCAGGTCCACTGCTGCGGTGAACACAGAGCTGGTTATGTCACTCTTTCGGACAACTGTTTCCCATCACTGGAATTTAAAAACTCACAAAACAAAAAGTTTCGACACAGCGTCACAGATTTGGAGAATGACAAATAAAACTTCGGAAGGCTTTTTCATTCGTCTGAGAAATATTATATTAATCATTTGCAGCACTCAATTATAGCTCTAATGAGCAATTAGTCTCCTCTGACAGTTTCCCAGCGAATACAGAATTAAATAAACTGATTTTTCATCATTCTTTGCTAATTATGCATCATAGAAACAATACCTTTCAAATCTCACAGGCGAAAACACATTTTTGAAGACGCGTCAATAAAAGGCGGACAATTAATCATCATTTGCAGCTTCCAATTTAACTTGTAAGGTTTTATCTTTCTTTCACAGACTTATAAAGGATTTAAAACTGTATTCATGCTTCTGTCTTAAAGCATGCTGGCCAAACATCAATATGATTTACTGTCTTTTAAGATCTACAGAGAAAAGATCACCCAACAAATAAGATTTATGAAATGTTGAACTGTCTGCATTGTCATTTTAATCACATTACGATCAAGATGCAAAATTAACGTCTTTTATTTCCTGTGTTTTTTTACCACAGTATTTATAAGAAAGTCCTCAGGTTAGTCCTTGAGTTGGAACAAAAGTTTAGCATAAACAGAACCTTGATGTCGGTGAAAAAGTACATGTTTAAGTTAAGTATCTTGAAATAACTGCATAGCATCTTGACAACAATTCGCCAGTTTGTACTCGCACTCCAGCATATTCAAACATTTTAAAGCTAATATAAACTGGCTTTTAAAACAGCCTTTTTCCCACTCAACAGCAACCACACAAGCGTACCAAGCCGGCAAGTGTTGATGATGTTTAGTCAGTCTGTCATGTCAAACACTTTGAGTGTCCTCTTCAGCCGATTGTAAACAGCATCTATTAAACTCTGTACAGAGCTGTGGGATGTTTTATTTTCTCTTCTGCTAAAGTGCAATGATGAGGAGCAGCTTGATTTAGATACTTAAAGGGATATTCTGGCTCAAAATTAAGTTAGGGTCAAACACACCGTAACACCGACAGATGAATGTTGCCGACCGCTTCCTTCTCTAGTTATACCAACTTTAGTAATGACCGTACGATAGCAATACACAGCAGTCTCAAGAGCCACACGCTCAACCAAAAAGCCACTCTATAGCCACAAATAATGCTCAGAACAGCACCTAACTTCATCAACAGTACATATAGGGTCCGAGCCATAGTACTAGCCACCAAACATCTTTTTAACTTTGCCTGATTCCTTTAGTGAAGAGAGTAAACACAACTCACCTACTCTCTTCCAGCAGCCGCTTGTTTGTAGACCTCCAGCGAGTCCAAACTGACTGCAGCGGGGTGACGCAGCTTAAGGAAGAACATTTATGATCATTTCTTCATGGACATACAATCAGACCGAGATGCTTAGGCAGAAGAACTACCGCATCTGCAATGCATAATGTTTAACATGGTGATTATTACTTCAAGTAAATGAAAAAGTAATGATCATAAATGTTCTTCCTTGAGCTGCGTCACCCCGCTGCAGTCAGGACTCGCCTGAGGTCTCCCTACAAACAAGTGGCTGCTGGAAGAGAGTGGGTGAAGACAGTTCTGAGCATTACTTGTGGCTTTTTGGTGGAGCGCGTGGCTCTTGAGACTGTGTATTGCTATTGTATGGTCTTTAACTGGTATAACTAGAGAAGCAAGCAGTCAGCAACATTCATCTCTCGACGGAGTGTCTAACTTGGTGTTACGGTGTGTTTGACCCTAACTTAATTTCATGCCGGAATATCCCTTTAACCAAAATAAACAGTACTGAGAAGACGCAAGAAGAGAGAGCGTCACAAACCCGTGTGAAGTCAGCCTTTTTTTCTTGTTTTAAATGCAAAAACATACAAAATTAAATGTAAATGAAAATGAGCCAAACTGTGCTTAACTGTTAAAACTCCGTGGTTAAAATAATGATTGGACAGCCTCACTTTAAAGCTGTGGTATCATCTTAAGTGCTCCACAGCAGCCGTGTTCCTCTCTGACTAAGAGAATAAAGATTTTAATAGCAGTCAAAGTCCTGCAGCTTAACTGCAACAACTTTATAGCAGCATAAAGTAAAGGTGTTCTCCTCGGCGCTGTGAAAGTTCAGTCGCAGTTTTTTTTCCACTCAGATGCAGCAGCTGAGTATAAATAATATATGTTTTTGTCTGGGTAATCTCAAGACACGTCTGTCTCTGGTGAATTTTGTGTCCCTGTCAGGTCATAGTAGTTAACTGGGACAAAGCTGCCAGGTCTTTGGCCTTTACTTTCCAGTCTCCAGTCCCCTGACTCTCAGGGACAAACCCCCCCCACCTCCAAAAGCATGCCTCTTGCCCTAAGGTCTGCGCCAAGTGACATATTCTATCCATCAACCACTGTGCTGCAAACGTATGAAGCAAAAAGGTGCAGGGACGGCAAATTTTTCATGCATATGATATTTGGGCTCCAGCGCATCCGCCTACGTTAACCCAGGAGAGCAAAAGACGAGAGAGGGAGGGAGGGGGGAGACTCTTTGAAGATGGATTACCAGATCACGTCACGAGAAAAGAGGCTGCTATGAGCAAGCGGCAATTTTCAGGAGGCGACCCTCAGAGCGAGCGGAGAGCGCGGGGAGAGGAATACAGATGCCCCCTCACTACAAAGAGTTTATTTTCATGTCAACACGAGAACACCGAGCATTAGCGCTGTCAAGTACTTCACCACCCTAAGCTGAAAGCCACTCTTCTTTCACATAAATAACAATAAAAGAAATGTCCACCCCGAGATGTGAAATTATAGATCCACAGGCATAGTCACAGATAAGTGCTTTTAACACATGACTTTTCCCTGTCTCTGATTCTGTTTCATTTCTTAGAGCTCAGCTGCCTTTGGCACGTTAAAAATCTTCACTTCAGCTTCGGGTTTTATGAGCGTAAATCAACGAGAGGAGAAAATAAATGTATAATCCAGGGTTTTTGCAGAGGTACGCATTTCATTTTACAAAAGGGGATGTAAGCCAGAGAGGAATAAAAAAATAAAAAAAAACAGCAATCTGTGGACTGTGTTTAATTCATCATGACTGATAACGGCGTGTTGATGTGGCCACTTGAAATGTTGTTTTTCCCGCTGGCGACTTGTTAGTAAAAAAACAAATAAAACAGGATTTTAAAGTGCTTCTTTGTCCTTAAATGACAACGGCTCGCTGATATACTTACTCCTAAATAGAGAAATTTACGGATAATGAATGCACCGTCTCTCTTGCCAAAACCTGCATTACCCCACTGCTAATGGTTTCCCCTTCTAAATCAAACTATCTGCAAACGTGCACGGAGCGGAAGGGGAGTGGACTCCTGGATGAGTAGTGGGAGTTGCCTGGGGGGTCTGGAGGCTGGGATAAAGGAGGGTAAAAACGGGGGGCAGGGGGGCAGCTGCTATTATATTGGCTCTGTGAGATAAAAAGCAATAAATCACAGCCAAGACCTGAACCTCGAACCTCGTTTTTGCTTTCTCTATTTTAAGACAGCAAGATGGAAAATGCACGGAAAGCTTTAAGAGAAGGGGAGAAGCTGAATCTGAACTTCGTCACTCAGGTCAGATTCGGCTCCTCGTAACAAACCGGTGACTATTCATTTGTTTTTATTCATTCAACTTCAAGCTGTTTCTTCATATTCTATCCACTCAGATACGTGTTGACATTGTTTATGATGCACCGACTGAGCGCACACCACAGGCTAAACAAACAGCGCATGGAGCGAAACCACTGCATTATTAAGCTGTGTACATACTGAGTATGACTGTGAGTTCACAGGGTCTTATGATAAGCAAAGTGTATCCACTCACAGCAACGGAGCAGCAGGCCCTGTCTCTTAGTGTCAGATTACACCCACGTGGCGCGCTGCAAATACGGTAAACACAAAGACAGAGTTTTACCAGTGTTAAAAAAAACCTTCCTTAATCCCATTTGTTGTTTGTTTTGGAGGAAATGGGAGTTAAAATAATGTCAAATTTGGATGAGGTTGTGTTAAAAACGTGGATATTAATCACACAGAATAAAATGGTAATCTTAGAGAGGAGATATCAAACAACTACAGCAGATTCAACCTGCAACAGTTTGACTTAAAAGTTACTAAATTGACAATTTATCGACAATTTTTTCGACTTTTGATTTTCATTTTATCTTAGACCTCATCCAACAAAAACAAAAACAATATTGGCTAAAATGAAACTTTTAATACTTTAACAAAAAGAAAACAAAACAAACAAAAAAAAAAAAACCTCGGAATTCCTTACGGGAATAAGGTCGTAATAAAATCTTAATTTACGAGAATAAAGTCGTAAAGTGAAACAAGTCTTAAAACTGTTTCTTTTGTGGAGGAGGAAATGTCTGAACTGGTCAACTGCAGAGTTAACGGTGGGTGCATCAGTGGGTTATTCAGAGGGCTTTTGTGGTTTCTCAAGAAACAATCCAACTGATGATCTACATTTACCACGTCTGTGTCTGATGCCGGCACAACACCTGCAGCAACCTACACCTGCAGAGGCACCAACACCTTATGGCATATAGATTCATACGATAAACTTAAGCCATATGCTATTGCTATTGTTATAAACAGCTGCATTGAGGGATTTAGCCTCTGCACAGCCATTTCCAGCCATTTCCCCTTCCTCAAAAACGGTGATTCCCTACAAGTCCGCCTGGTTCTTTCTGCAGAAAAGATGCATTTCTTGCATATGTCCTGATACCTATGACAATGTGATGCTGAAAGGACAAAGGATTTAGTATTTCCTTGTTTGTGAAACTTAACTACTGGAAGTTAGCTAGCTAACAACAGGTTAGGATAACTATTAGCTACGACTTTATATTTGTAAGTAATAATTGTGTTACGACTTTATTCTCATAGGTATTGATTTTATTTCGACTTAATTCATGTAAATAAAGATTTTATTATGACTTTATGCTTGTCAGTGATGATTTTATTATGACTTTATTCTCGTAAGTATTGATTTTATTTCGACTTTATTCACTTAAATAATGATTTTATTACGACTTTATGCTCATCAGTAATTAC